ATGTCTGTACACAACAATAACCTTTCACCAAATTTAAATCATAATAAATTATACAACAGGGAGTCACAATTATTGTTGAGATAGAGGGGTGGGGCGAAATGTTTTTCAGAGGCACACTCCAAAGGGAGTGTCATAAAAAAAAAGAAAAAACGGCAAGATGGCTGCGCAAGCGACCAAAGAAACCCACAAATGTGAGTATTTTACACATTAAAAATTACGATAATCATCATATTATACTAGTTTAATGTAATTTCAATGTATTTTGGTCCTTTTCTTCATAACAAGCATAAAATCGCTAGTAGTATGCTGATGTCTTGGTAGCTAGCTAGCTAAATTTGAAGAAGCTGGTGAATAGCTGACTTCGGCTTCATATGACTGAAGAATTAGCGATAACAAATCCCCCCTTGAAAGCATATGATTCCCTAAATGTAACTAAAGCCCAGCAGTGAGGTTGATGAACTTCACCCTCCTCTGCTATCACTGCAGACTGGCAGGGTCACCTACAGAGCAGTGCTAGTAGTCTGTTAAAGAAGTAATGTTCTTTTTTATTTGAGGGTTGTTCCATTTTGTAGGGATACGATTTCAACCACTGCTGAGTTACAAGGGGCAAGGTAAAAATTTGAAATGAGATTGAGCCTTTGACTGGGCTGGGAGCTGGAACACTTTTCCTGTGGTAGCGAAGTTTGAATGGGCTGAAAGCTGGGACACTTTTTACCACAGTACTCGGGTTTGACTGGGCCGTGAGCTATGACACTTTTCATGGAAGTATCAGAGTTTGACTGGACCATGAGCCACGACACTTTTCATTGCAGTAGCCAAGACCTGGGCACTTTGCACTGAGACAGTGGAGTCTGGCTAGGCCGTGAGCCTGGCACTTTGCACCATGAGAGCAGAGTCTGAGTAGGCCATGAGCTGGGCGCTCTGCACCCTGACAGCGGTATCTGACTAGGCCGTGAGCAGGTCACTTTGTACCACGACAGGGGAATCTGACTGGGCCATGAGCTAGAACACCTTTTATTGTGGTACAGAGATTGACTGGGCTGTAAGTGTGGTGGTTGAGTTTGACTGGGCTGCGACCTTGACACTTTGCACCGTGACAGCGAAGTCTGACTGGGCCATAAGCCGGGGGCTGTGAACTGTGACAGTAGAATCTGACTGGGCCATAAGCTGAGTCTGAGGGGGCTTTGAGCTAGGCATCATTCATGAAGGCTGGAGTTCCTCTCCCTGCCAGCTTAGGAACTGTGTGTGTGTGTGTGTTCTGATTGGTCTGTCAAGGCATGTTTGGTGTCTTAAGTTGGCTTCATTAGTTTTGCACTAGAGCTATGATCCTAAAGTAGCTTTTAAGAAGTGGAAGCTTACACTCAAACATTTATCCATGTAAAAATTGCAGGTCTAAATCATAACAGTGTTACTGTATGGGCTTCCAATGAGTTTAACACAGTATGTCATTGAAAAACTACTGTTAGTGTATTTAGCAAAGAGCAATCATTAGTCACTAAACTACACTGTAAACTATTTTGACCAGCAAGCACTAATTTTGAAACTCCGACGCCTGAGCCATGTCTGGACTCAAATTCCTCCTACAAAATTAAACTGGAAACTGAGTGTCCATCTAAACTGCCTCATACCATTAAGAAAGGAGGTCAAGATTGGGGACAGATCAGGAAAAATGTGTCCACCCCTCAGAACATTTAGTTCCAGCAGTCATCATAAGGTTATGACAGTGTGTCGGAAGAATGTGCTATTTTTAGGTTCAATCATAGACAGGAAAAGTAACATGTGTGATCAATCTAAAGAAGCACACACATGCACGTGGCTGACCCAGCACAGACACAAAACAGTGGACTTCATTACACTGACTTGGAGCTGACTTTAGTTGCTCAATTCTCAATTCTCTACACAGCCCCCCTCCCTCCACACACCTGCTGCAGTGCTGATGGGAATTCCAGGCCAGTGCGGGCCCTAAAACATCTCAATGAACTCTGAGATATGGGAGTCATCCGAGGCTATGACCTGCCCTACTGCCCCAGCCATTCCAACTAAATTTAATGGTAAATTCTTTATTCACATGACACATGAGCGAGATCACTTGTCCATTAACAGAAATGCACACAAAGGGCCTGACGTACGCCTGATGCTGCCGCAATACGTGCTTGTGCATCTGAAATTAACGTCCAGCTTACTAAGGCTAAAACTGAAACTCATGCAAAAAGCAATGCATAAAAGTCTATTAGCATATGGTTAATAATTAGGGAAAACAACTAATTGTGATTTATCAGACCAATTTTGTGACTGTGATTTAAATTCTGACCAGTTTTATATACGTTTTTCTGCCTTGAGGTTTGAATGCTGAATGTCGCGTTGTGCTGGTTAGTTGTGGATGTAATGTCACAGGCCATATTTGCTTGTGATTGGTCTAGCTCATCTACAAGCTCTATGTTATTAGCTTAAACTCCCTCACTTAAGATTTGGACAACGTTGTTGATAATGTTAGCTATAATAATAGTTGCAGATCTTGTGTTATGAAAATTGCACTCTTACAAAATGCAATTTCGATATAAAAATCATTCTATACGGGTGCAATTAGTCTGAAACTCATTAGACTCAAAAAAACATTTTGGAGGTCTCAAGTGGTGCAATCGTCTAATCATTAGGCTACTAATGTCAAGAGTTCGATCCTCGGTGATGCCACAGCCACCCATGGAGAGAGATTTATTTAATTAGAAATTGAACTACTTGTTTATTGGAATGTTTTTGAGATGTTTACTACATGCTATAGCTGCGCTATGAACTACCTGCTACCCGGTGCCAAAGATGGTAGGCAGCGCAGCACGGCACATCTCTTCTGGTGTGCCTTTAGCTGGCTGCAGTAGAATTTCTATGCTTGCACTAAACATATTACAACCTCTGACCAAAATATAAGATGCTGGGTCTACATCACCCTCTGGTGGAGTACAGTGTTCATACTCATAAATGTAGAGCACATGGTTATTCAATATGGGATCCTAAGTGATTAGAGAGAAGTAGGAGTGGGCATTATACAGTATACTGGTTGAAATTGTACAATGAGTTTTAACCGCTATACCAGTATGCCACAAATATCTGCAGATAATGTGACATATAAGCAATGCAAAATACTCTGATATTATCCCATTTAGCTGAGTGGCCAAAGTCATGGATGTTTCAGTCAAGTTTTAAATAAAAATGAAAACACAGCAGATCCTCAGTCACCTTCTGAAGTATACTCCATTGTACCTGAAGTAGTCCACTTTATTTTCTAAGCAGAACACATAAAGGAATTGCCGGTCGTCTTTAGGGGTGAGCTTTAGCATGGAACAGAGCCACCAGAGCGACCGCATCACTTCTGAAGTTGGCGTCTTAAACGAATTTCCTGTTCCATCTTAAAGGCGCAGCAGTTACATGCAGATACCTGTATAAGACCCAGAATATTACTTCTGCTCCACTTAAGGTGGGAAGAAAAATTCAAAGAAAAAGCTGGCAAATAAGAAGACGTAGAAATTACAGCACAAAACAACATTTAGCACCTTTGAAGCCAGTCCTCTGGCACTAGGGGAAGGAGTACTAACATACGCTTTTTTACTATATTGCACAATAAAAATATTTACTTTGGTTGGTAAAAATGGTTCTTCTTAAAGAGTGAAGCAACATCCCATTATGTTTAAGCATGATCATGCCGGAAATAGCCATTTTTAGATGGTAAATAGTGGCCATGAAGGGATGCACATGGACAGCAACAATGCTTAAAGAGGCCTTCAAGCTATCATCGATTGGAATTAACAAGCCCAAAGTGTGCCAAGAAAACACTCCCCACACCATTACACCACCTCCACCAGCCTGGACTGTTGACACAAGGCAGGCTGGGTCCATGGATATATGCTGCGTGCCTCAAGACTAATCTGACCAGGTTACATTTTTCCAGTCTTCAACTGTCCAGTTTTAGTGAGTCTGTGCCCACTGCAGCCTCAGCTTTCTGTTCTTGGCTGACAGAAGTGAAACCCAACATGGTCTGCTGTTGTAGCCCATCCGCCTCGAGGTTAAATGTGTTGAGCATTCCCAGATGCTTTTCTGCTCACCACAAGTGTACACAGTGTTTATCTGCCTTTCTGTCAGTTTGAACCCGTCTGGTCATTCTCATCAACAAGGCATTTCCATCTGCAGAACTGCTTCTCACTGGATTTTCCTCTATTGCACCATTTTGAGTAAACTCCCAGGAGATCAGCAGTTATAGAAATATTCAAACCAGCTTGTCTGGCACCAACAATCATACCAAGGTCAAAATCACTGAGATCACATTTTTTCCCAGTTCTAATGGTTGATGTGAACATTAACTGAAGCTGCTGAATCTGCATGGTTTTATGCAAAGTTTTTTATGCAATACTGCCACATGACTGGCTGATTAGATAATTGCATGAATGCGTAGGTGTACATTTTGTTCTAATAAAGTGCTCAGTAAGCGTACATACCAAAATCAAAAAACCTGAATTAATCTGTGATATACTTTTTTTTGGGTATACCAGCAATTACTAGAGGTAACCTCATTTGCACATCAAAATGTACTTATTTTCTCTTCATTTACATTCATGTAACTTTCATATTCACTTTCATATTCAAATATTCAAACATTCTGACTAATACTTAGTTGAAAATGCAGCCACTGCTTCTCTCAGTGGAAGCTGGTGATGAAATTGGCAACTGTGTTTAATCCGAGGAAATCAGGTGTTTGTCATGCTCAGGTTGGTACTGAAATATTGGAAGTAATAAACACATTCTGATAAGCTTATTTTGTCCACTCATGTAGCTATAACAAAATGCATTGCTTTTATTTATTGAACAAAATCATTCTTCAGGGTCAAATTTGTGGAAATATATGTGATTAATCACAATTAATTCCGCAAAATAATGTGATTAATCATGATTATTTTAATCGTTTCACAGGCTTCAGTATACTGATAACTGGGAGGCGGAGCTGCTGTAAATACCTGCTGGTGGCCAAGCCTTGATGTAGCCAGTGCAGTGCACCACCGCATACTGCGCTTCTCCTTCTTTAGACGGACCCAGACCATTCCTAAAGGAGCAAAACACACACACAAACACATGTTAGACACCTTTTAGGTCACAGAAGGATTACCCTTTCCCAAAATCCATTTTGAAATCGAGTGTGCGCTTCAAACAGCCTCAGAAGAGAGAAACGCGTCTTCAGACGTTTTCCCCCTAAAGCATTTTATCTTTCAGAGAAACACCGTTCCACAGCAAGCTCTCAATCCATCCTCCCCGCTTCATTCCACAGCCCGATACGAGTGAAAACAGACAGCGAGTCATCTGTCAAGCCAATACATCATATTTATGTAAATGCAGAAAAGTGGAAAAAAGTGCTCCAACTCATCCACTGGGCCACAAAAACTCACAGAAACGGTGGATTAAAGTTATAATGTTTGGTGCCGGTTGTGAAGTTGTAATATTTGGGGGAGGGGGAGAGTATAAGTCTGCATTAGAAGCGTTTAAAGCTGTTTAAAGCACGACACGATGTTTCAAATTCCTCACCGTGAAGCTGCGGAAGCTCCGTCTCAAGCAATTTAAAGTGACAGTTCAGTGAAAAATCCAATTGACAGTTCTCACCTTACGTCATCAGTCGATCAGTCAGGACATGTTTGGTGTCTGAAGTTTGCTTCTTTAGTTTTGCAGTAGAGCTACAAAGCTAATGTAGCTAGAATGAAGCTTAAGGACACCGATTAGCATTGTGTTAACTGAATGACTAAATCATCACACATACTATATGGACAATATGGACACATATAGTATTAGGACACACCTCAATCATTGCATTCAGGTGTTTCATTCAGTCCCATTGCCACAGGTGTATAAAATCAAGCACCTAGCCATGCAGTCTGCTTTTACAAACACTTGTGAAAGAATGGGTCACTGAATTCAAGCATGGTACTGTAATAGGATGCCACTGTTGCAACAAATCAGTTCACGAAATTTCTTTCCTCCTAGATATTCCACGATCAACTGTGAGTGATATTATTGAAAAGTGGAAGCGTTTAGGAATGACAGCAACTCAGACCACGTAAAGTTACAGAGCAGGTCGCCGACTGCTGAGGAGTATAGTGTTTAAAAGTTGCCAACAGTCTGCTGACTCAATAACTGCAGAGTTCAAACCTCCTCTGGCATCAAAATCAGTACAAAAACTGTGTGCTGGGAGCTTCATGGCATGGGTTTCCCTTACTGAGCAGCTGCATGGAAGCCTTCCATCACCAAGCAGAATGCCAAGCGTCAGATAGAGTGTTGTAAAGCTCACCACCACTGGACTCTGGAGCAGTGGACACATGTTCTATGGAGTGATGAATCACACTTCTTTATTTTATGTCTGGTGGAGGAGGGATAATGCTATGGGGTTGTTTTTCAGGGGTTGGCCTAGACCCCTTAGTTCCAGTGAAGGGAAATGGTGACACTTCAACATAAGACATTTTGGACAGTTGTATGCTTCCAACTTTGTAGGAACAGTTTGGGGAAGAACCTTTTCTGTTCCAGCATGACTGAGCCCCAGTGCACAAAGCAGGGTCCATAAAGGCCTGGCTGGGTGAGTTTGGTGTGGAAGAACTTGACTGGCCCTCACAGAACCCTGACTTCAACCCCATCAAACACCTTTGGGATGAACTGGAATGGAGATTGTGAGCCAGGCCCTCTCGTCCAATATCAGATCAGAGTCTGACCTCACAAATGCTCTTCTGGATGAATGGGCAAAAATTCCCACAGACACTCTCCAAAATCTTGTAGAAACTTTCCAGAAGAGTGGAAGCTGTTATAGCTGCAAAGAGGACCAACTCCATATTTATGCCTATGGATTTAGAATGGGATGTCATGAAAGCTCCTGCAGGTGTAATGTGTAGGTGTCCCATTATGTTTGTCCACATAGTGTATGTTAAACAACATCATGTTGTTCAGTAATGTCTAACAGGCTTGCTTTTGTGGTTTCTGAATGGCAATAAGATTCAGGCGTAAAGGTCACTATGCAGTGAAATGTGATTTGTCAGCATTTTGAAGCTTTAGTGGAATGACCAATATAACATTTCCTTCCCTTGATCTATATCTGTTCCTTGAAGTAGACCATGCGTTTCATTGCCTTCCTCATTTCTCATCGTGCCGTGCGTTCCAGTAGAAACCATCCGTAAGTTTTGTCTATGTTTGCAGATATCAGTGTGTCATACAGTGTCAGAAACCACATAAGCAACTCTGTCAGAGATTACTGTTTGAGGCAAATATTTGATGACTCAGGCAAGCAATACTGATTTTTTAGATTATTTTTCTTTGTATTTACCCTGTATTTCTGTATTTTCATATTTGATATATATTCTTATTTACATACAGTACATTTAGTATTACTGGTTAAATACGTTGGCATCTTCACCAGATCTTTCACTGTCATGAAATTTTAGCAGAAGTTTAACTACCACATAAATAATAACTTTTGGTTTGTTTTATGCCTCTAATAAAGTATATGTTTCATTTACTTTGCACACTGTACAAGCATAAGATATGTATGTGCATACAAACAATCATTCAGAGCAGCAGTTCTCAACTTTCTTTTACTCTAAGGCCCTCTCTCTATATTGCTGCCGTCGGAAGAAAACCTTGTATCTCCAAAATGTTAACTTTACAGGAGAAGGAAAAAACCTACTTTACTTTTAATGTAAGTCAATGGAATCAGACTTTTTTCCAAGTAATTTTGGGCTGTTTCTTTTGGTCCATTCTTCATGAAATTTACAAACAATGTAAAGAGCAACAGGTATTTTCAAACTGTGTCAAAAACTGAAAAATGACAAAAATGGAGATACAAGGTTTTCTTCCGACAGCAGCGATATAGTGGTCACTGCCACTCCTGCCTCTAACTTGGTCATTAATTTCATTCAATGGACGAGCCATGTCTTACCAGAACCTTGTCCATTTTGCTGGCTTTCTCTGCAACTAGCCATAATGCTGCAGTTTGGTCAAGCTGGTCAACCAGCTTGGTCATGCTATTTATAGTGGTTGACCAGCTTGGTCAAGGCTATCATGCTGGTCAACCAGCTTGATTATGCTGGGCATGCTTGTTGACCAGCTTGGTCAAGTTAAATATGCTGGTCTATAAGCTTGGAAAGCTAAATATGCTGGTCAACCAGCCTGGTCAAGCTAGAAATGCTGATCAACCAACTTGATCAAGCTAGAAATGCTTGTCGACCAACTTGGTCAAGCTAGTCATGCTGGTTGACCAGTTTGGTTATGCTGGTCATGCTGGTCTAAAAGCTTGGTAAAGCTAGTCATGCTGGTCAACCAGCTTGGTTATGCTGGTCATGCTAGTCTAAAAGCTTGGTTATGCTGATCACGCTGGTCAAACAGCTTGGTTATGCTGGTCAACCAGCCTGGTTAAGCTAGTCATGCTTGTTGACCAGCTTGGTTATGCTTGTCATCGTGGTCTAAAAGCTTGGTCAAGCTAGTTATGCTGGTTGACCAGCTTGGTTATGCTGGTCTAAAAGCTTGGTCAAGCTAATCATGCTGGTCTATAAGCTTGGCCAAGCTGTAAATGCTGGGCGACCAGCTTGGTCAAGCTAAAAACGCTGGTTGACCAACTTGGTCAAGCTAGTCATGCCAGTCTACCAGCTTGGTCAAGCTAAAAATGCTGGTTGACCAACTTGGTCAAGCTAGTCATGCCGGTCTAAAAGCTTGGTCAAGCTAGTCATGCTTGTTGACCAGCTTGGTTTTGCTGGTCTACTAGCTCGGTCAAGCTAAAAATGCTGTTTGACCACCTTAGTTACGCAGGTCATGCCAGTCTAAAAGCTTGGTCAAGCTAGTCATGCTGGTCGACCAGCTTGGTTGACTAGCTTGGTTATGCTGGTCATGCTGGTCTACAGGCTTGGTCAAGCTAATCATGCTGGTCTATAATCTTGTTCAAGCTAGAAATACTAACTGACCTGCCTAGTTAAGCTCCTCATGCTAGTCAACCAACTTGATTATGCTGGTCATGCTGGTTGACCAGCTTGGTCAAGCTAGAAATTCTGGTTGACTAACTCGGTCAAGCTGTACACCTTCAGCAGGAAGGTAACTCATTAACGGAATCGTAATTTTTTGGCACTTTCAATTACATTTTAGTGACATCTACCATTATTAAACAAAATATGGTAGAATTACTTATTAGGGATATTTCTGAAAATGTTTCTGCAGCCCCCACAGCGCCCACAGTGTGAGAACTGCTAGCATATAGATACATGGAATCATGTGGAGTAAATCAAGCAAAACTTACATGCCTCAGGGTCTGAATAGATACAAAGAAACACAACTCACTGCCCTCTAAACGTCTAATAGCACCAAATTAAATGACGTGACAGTGAATCCTATTTCTGCTTCCTTTTTATACATGATTTTGTCTAGGATGCAGCCGATTCACATTAGGCTTGTTGCAACACACTATAATTGTGAAAACTAATAAGTGCAATCATCTCAAATAACTGTGATCAAGTAATTGTGTTATAACTGTGACAGGCCTACCTCTTAGCTGCAGTGCAAAACTAACTTCAGACACCAAACAGGACTATATTTGGGTTAAAAGAGGTGGAAACTGTGTAAATTAGATATTTTTTGCTGCACTATCGCTTTAATTTGTTTCTCACAGCATAACATCCATTATTTATCAATTATTCATTATTCAATTATTCATATTTTCATAGCAGGTCTGCTGATATATATCTAAACTGACATAACATCCATACAAGCAAAATTCAATTTACATTTCATTTAGGCTCTAAAAGCATCCTGATAATAGCTTTAAGCTACAGCATGGTCAGTGGAGCCCCACTATTAAAAAGCTTTTCCTGGTTCAGGCCTCGTGTTAATTTGTGTGAAGAAAACCAGCTGACAAGGAACATCTGACCCAGATGAAGCTGCATTCCTGAGTAGACATGGTCTTCAAAAAACAGTCCAGTTTGTGTGACATATGGGGCGGTTGAACATGAGAGGTTAAAAGGGCAAATTCAGAGAAGACAAAAACGAAACCCCTGCTGCTCAGTTCTCAGCAACATCTTTCCAGGAAAG